TAAGTCTCGTTCTTAAATATATCCTTTATAATATCTCTATTTATTATTATTTAATTATTTACTAAACGGTCGTCCGTCCTATTTATTTATAATTATACGTCCTATTTATTTATAAACGTCCGTTTTTTATTTTATTATATAATCGTAGTTACGTAATTTATTTATAGTTCTTCTGTCCTGAGAGGGGTTATTTTAAGTCCGTTGCTTCTATATATATAGTATAATAGCCGCTATAAGTTCTATAGGGCAGGCCCTAGTTTTAGTTATACGTATTAGGTCGTAATATAGGGGGTCTAAGCGTCTTACTTAATTTTTAATATAATTCTAAAGAAAACGGTTTAAATTTACCTATAGTTAACGTTTTTTAGCTTATATAATTAATAGCTATATAGTAGGAGTATTTATTAATACTGTAAATTAATACTATATAAACGATATCGAGAATCGCCCGAGCAGCTAGCAAAAGCAGAACATTAAAACATATATAGGTTAATATTAAGAGGTTATATATATATTAAAATGAATAAAGCTTATTTTTTAAATAGCTAGAACTTAAAGAACTTTATATAGTAAAAGGTTAGGAGTTTTAGTTAGTAATTAGGTTTAGAGTATAATATATTTAGTTTTTTTTAATCCGTAATATATAGTACTGGCCTGGCAAATTGCTCTGTCGGGGGGCTATTACCTAGATATAAATATAAAGTAATTATATAATATAAAAATTAATATTTAAAGGGTTAACTTAGGACCTATTTATTTAGAAATGTATTAGTGTTATATAAGCGTATACGTAATTAAATAAATATAAGAGATAGTATATAAATAAAAACAAAAACTTATAATATATATAAATATCACATAAACAATATCGAGAATCGCCCGAGTAGCTAGTAAAAGTAGAATATTAAAATAAATAATATATAGTACGGCCCTGGCGGATTGCTCCGTCGGGGAGATAGGCCTAGTTTATAAACCTTAAATTTAATACTATTAATAATTCATTCTACTCCTGTACTTCTTTACCTATCGCGCCCTCTTGTTGCGCATTGGCTGTTGGCCGGCAGACGTCACGGTCGGGCAACTTGAATTCCATCACCGCTGTTCTAGATCATGAGTGATTCCCTGATCGCGCACTCATCATCGCCATCGTCGGACCCGGTTCGGCGGCAACATGTGGTTTCATGGCCAGGAACCGTCGGCTAGAGCTTTTCTAATTGTCGCCTCGTTGCTCGCACTCGTCTGCACCTCAACTTCGAGCCAGGCATCTAGCTCAACCGACACCTCCCTCACAAACACTCAGATCGCCTTTTGCCAGTTCAAGACGATCAATTACATCACGCACACACTTCCTCAACAGTGTCTCAAGACTAGTTGGCCAGGCGGTAGGGCTTTCAGTGATGGTCCAACTCCGATGAACGACAATGCAAGCCTACCTCCCGACGATTCAACGAAAACTACACATAGTGCTGGGGATACTGTGGTCGCAGCCACCCACGTCTCGACACCCGACCGGACAAGCACCGATAATACAAATTCGTCTCCTACCGAGACCGCAACCGATGATGAAGTCACACCGAGGCCTTTCATGTCCTTTGAGGAATGGAAGGAGATGATGCTCCGAAAGGCTGGCCAAGACCCCTCGGAACTCAAATCCCGGAAAACAGTCGAGCGCGCGACCGAGCATGACAGAGCAACCAGAAGTTCGGGCCTTGATAGTCTCGGTATCGACGATGGGGAGATCGACTTGAACTTCGATGTTGTTTCCGAGAAAATCAGCAATATTGCATCAGCACCTCAGGCCATTCCGACAGAATTGGCAACTTCCGACCAACAGCAAGAGCCTGTACTTTATGACGATGGCAGGACGCAATACTACCGGAGTAAGGATGCAGGAAAGACCTGCAAGGAACGGTTTTCCTACTCGTCATTTGACGCTGGCGCAACGGTTCTGAAGACCAACAAAGGCGCGAAAAATGCCAAGGCCATCTTGGTTGAAAACAAGGACTCATACATGCTACTGGAATGCTCTGCAGGAAACAAGTTCGTGATTGTTGAGCTCAGTGACGACATCCTCGTCGACACCGTTGTGCTGGCCAATTTCGAGTTCTTTTCCAGCATGGTACGGCACTTCCGGGTTAGTGTGAGTGACAGGTATCCTGTCAAGGTTGATAAGTGGAAAGATTTGGGCACATTTGAGGCCAAGAATTCTCGGGACATCCAGCCCTTCCTCGTTCAAAACCCCCTGATCTGGGCCAAATACGTCAGGATAGAGTTCCTGACTCACTATGGCAATGAGTTCTATTGTCCAGTCTCGTTATTACGTGTGCACGGTACACGAATGTTGGAGTCATGGAAGGACCAAGAGACGCAGGCCGATGAAGAAGAGGTGGTGGAAGAGCCTGTAGGCGAGTTGCCTAGTTCTGCCATGAACGCTGAGATTGGAGAGAATACAACATTTGCATCTCCAGAGGGGGGATCACCAGAGGGGGGATCACCAGAGGTGGCATCTGACACCTCACCAGACCTGCTTATGCCGCGCCACATCTTCTCGCGTCTGGAATTGGACAACTCGACATGCCCTCCTTTAGTACCACTGCCACATTCAGAATCAATTCCATCGGACCCAGAACTGCAGATTGGAGATCGCGTAAAGCCAGGCTACCAACCATCAACACATGATCGATTGCGGGCCGGAGACTCTGCCAAACGTACCCCTGAGGACAGGTCGGCGTTTATCCCAGCAAACCTGACAGACCAAGTTGACGAAACCTCCTCATCATCGGCGAAGTCTGTTCCTGTAGGTGCACACCAAAGCAGCACATACACCGATCCGAGACCAGGAGGAGGAGAAAGTACGACAATAGGCACGTCTTCGACAAAGACAGCACAAGCCACTGTCCAATCCCGCAATAAGCACAACTCAACAGCAGTGCCCTCATCTCCTACAGTTCAGGAGAGCTTCTTTAAGGCCGTTAGCAAGCGCCTGCAGTACTTGGAGTCAAATGTCTCACTGTCACTCAAGTACATCGAGGATCAGTCTCGCTACCTACAGGAGATCCAAAAAATGGCTGAGAGGAGGCAATTGTCTAGAATCGATATCTTCCTGGATAGTCTAAACAATACCGTACTCTCAGAACTGCGGACTGTTCGCCAGCAGTATGATCAAATATGGCAATCTACTGTCATTGCGCTGGAGAGTCAGAGAGAGCAGTCACAGAGGGAAACCGTCGCACTCAGCTCTCGCCTCAACATCCTTGCTGACGAAGTTGTGTTCCAGAAGAGGATGGCCATCGTACAGGCCATTCTCCTGCTGTCATGCCTTATTCTCGTCATATTCTCCCGAGCAATGACACAACCGATCCTGGCTGGTTCCTTTGATCTCGGTCGAACATCGAATCTGGACCATTCCGATCCTGGCATTAGATCTGAACAAGTTGCTCAGAACACATATACCTCCGCGTATGACAGTTTTGGCCGGCCATTTGATGGGGAAGGCCGTGGCGAAAGAGCTTCACTGGAGGGGGCTTCTGAAGCATTACAAAACTTGCCAGGCACGCCTGCAAGGCTGCTCACGCCAGCATCAGAAGATGGGTACAGTTGCCAAGCCTTGGAGAGCAACTTATGTGGCCCTGATAGGTCTACGATGTCGCAAACACGCCCATTTGATACATTTGCTGAGAATGACTCCACTGAGAATTGCCATGGCTCATCCATGGACTTTGGCGGGCATCGTCTCGTTGATGAAGCGGCTGGAACACTAGACAACGCGGCACAGCATGGTTGTGGAATTTTGCCCCAAAACTCACTTCGTTCAACTAGAGTCCTTCTAGACCCGCTGCCACTGGAGAGCAAAGATGAGGCTCAGTCAGCAAATCAATCTCTTGGGATCGTCTCATCCACGGTTCGCAAACCACTTCCAGCTTTACCAGAGTGAGTCTATCACTTCGGGTTACAAAACCCCACCTGGTACCGTCTCCAACTCGGCTTCGTGTCGGGTCCCCTCACATCATTGTTATCGTATTAACAAATGGAATCACATCCTACTAATTGCCCTGGGCTGCGTGGTGTTCGCAGCAACGTGGCAATAATGGGTTTTGTTATTGACACGAGACAAAGCGCAGAAACACACTTGGCATGGCTGAGAGATTATGCAGCCATGATATCTTAGCAGAGCGCAGCTAGGTACTAATGATTACACGTTCATGACGCTTCCAGAAAGCTCCAGTATATAACAATCAAAGTTGGAGCCCCATGTATGTGGACAGAACTTCAATGTCTCGATTCCCCATAGTAGTATTGCGATGCCAGTACTTTCATTCGACCTGCATTATCCCTTGAAACTGCCTTCCAAATTCCACCACCCACTACCTTAAGCATGATACATGTATGGCTGCATAGATGCTTCGAAGTCATGTTCTTCGAGGGCGGCCAGCCTGGTACCTCGGTCATACTGCGAGCGTCTGCGGCGTTGCTCGTCGCGAAAATGCTGTCCAGCGTTGGGTGTGAAAAGCCCTGCAAGATTCCTGTTAACATGGTCCAGTAACCACTTGGCGATCCTTTCGTACCAACGTGTTCTGCGTTCTCGCAGCTTCGCTTCATCTTCGACTGATTGTCTGGCTCTGGAAAGGACTCCTCCTCTCCCGCGAGCTCTGGGACGGGCCCATTGGAGGTATAGAAAAGCTATGCTGTGATTAGTGTTTGGCTCTGTCGCGCGCTGGGTGGAAGCTAGCTGACCTTGGGACGATAATGCGTTGCTTCAAGCATTACGGAGCTGTTTCTGAACTTCTGAACAAGGCAATCCTTACCCTGGATGGCTTTAAGAGAGCATGTCAGCAGGCAGGCTTGACGTTATCCCACCTCGCGGCACTCACTAGCATAGGAGATCTCAGCGACCTTGTCGCTCTTGAAACAGTTCCTAGGTCGATGTAAGCTGGCGTAATGTCGTCTGGCTTGATCATTACGTTCAACATACCATCTCTGGTTACCCCTGGTATTGACGAACTGTAATCTGATCATTAGCGCTGCCGCGAACGCAAGGTTTGGGCTTACCGACATCAATGATGTCCAACGGCTACGAAGCAATGTTAGCAATACGTTACAGGTTCCCCCAAGGTCATACTTACGTCCACAAAATTGATAAAAGCGTATCCGACACTAGGGGAGTCCTCCGTGGTTAGTGCTTTGATGCATGGTGAGTTTTGAGATTGGCGATATTGCTTACTTGCAGTCATTGGCGAAATCAATCCGGAGATACATGAAGTCATACTTACCCCAGCTAGATTCATCAACGATCCGCTTGAGCATCGCTTGGTCTACTTTGTTCGGAATGTTGCGAAGCATGATCTGAGCATTGTCAGTCGAAGTCTCCAAAAACATCAACACATTACTCACCGTGGTGCGAACATCTGTTCCTTCACGGATGCGGTTGACATCGACATGGTTGTGGTGACTAGCAACATTATAATAGGGTGATCTGTTGACTCTGGCTGCATTCTGCCTTCGGGGCTCGGCCCTGGTGCCGGGAGACATCGACCCCATCATTGGCATCCCCGGTGAAGGCTGTGAGAAGAAATGGTTCGTGAGCTGATACCTCGCCGAGCTGGATGTAGACGTAGGCGCCCCGAGGCGCTGGCCACCATTCAGAACGTATGCTGTACCCGGCTGAAACTGTGGCTGGCACAAGATGGGCCACATCGCCAAAGGAGAGACCTGGATACCGAGAGGGGGATATGGCGACCCGGGCACAGGCATGGGCACTCCCTGGGGCATGAGAGGCACCTGGTTGGCTTGCTTGGAGAGAGAAAGTGCATGAAGGGCACTTGTCAGATCATGCCGAGGCGTGGATGGGCTGAGGTCGTCGGTCGGGCCGTCTTGAGGATCTTGAGCCGCGTGAGGAATCTCGTTTCCATCCAAAAGCGACAGGGTGATATGGATCCCCTTGAAATTCATTAGCTCGCGTCACGTTGTCCCCATATAGTTTGCCAGCGCTCGATGAGCCTACCTCAACAATCGTGTTGTTGATCACAACCACGGCTGTGGCAGCTTCAGCCTGCTCACTGAACTGAGTGATGGCTCTGTATACCGAAGGATCGTTGTTTTGCGGGACATGGTATGCCGAGAGCTGGCCCCGCGACTGCAGCATGCGCTTGATAACTGCTTCAGTGCGGATGACGTCGAGCGGATAGGGGGGAATAGCTACAGCAACTACGGCGACCCAAGCCCCATAATTGACTCTGCTTCTAATGGCAAGCTTTTCGGATATCAGTCGCCAGGATTTACTTAGAGATCCAGGAAGACGCACCTCTGAAAAGTCGACATTTGACAGATAGTCGATTTCAAAGTCAGCCTCGACTCGATAAACGTTGTCGTGGACCAAAACGGCGTCACGAATATCATTGAACTGGACAGAGATTTGTCCTCCTCTGTGGAATATCTGTCGCGGTTCTTGGAGCGAGAGACCAAGTCGCTGGAGTTTCTAGTTATTTGTTAGTCAAGATATTGAGTGACGGGAGACGAAGGACTTACCATGAGACAAGCATTCAGATCGGTAATGCCAAGGCTGCGGTTTTGGGAGCCGATTGTGAGACACTCCGAGAGTTCACCAACATCCCTAACTCCAGTAGAAAAGACGCTAGAAGCTGATTGTCTGTCTCGGTCGAGGTTTGCGAATTCAGCGTTCCTGTCCAGTGGCGAAGAGAAGGGCTGAAAGGTAGAGGCAGTCGGCGACAGCTTCTGATGGCTAGTGTTTGAATCTGTAGTGATGAATGGGTCCTTTTCGGCACTAGACATGACACTGCCAAAGGCACTCGAGGGGAATCTCGAGGGAGTGGTCTCTGGCGAGGCCGGCACAATTGATTTGAGAAGACGGGAGGACCTCGTGGCGCTTTCCTCCGGAGAGAAGGCGGTCAACCTTGTGTCAGGCGTTCCCTTGAAGGAATCGGCAGCGCCGACAGAGGAGTGAGGTGAAGAAGGGTTAAACATGACGCTGTCGTGGCTTTGGGCCATCTTGCCTGTCATGCTGTTTCTTCTCGATGAGCGATGCTTCTCAACCCAGTAAGTAAATACAAAAGGGAGGAAAACAAGAGAGTGGTGTCTAGGTAGTAGAGGGAAGAGACCGAACTACCGAGACCCGGGGGATGATAGATGGAGTTGACAAGCTTGAGTCTCAACGTAACAGGTAGAAGATTGATCTCTCTGGCTTGACCGCGAGGTAGCCGTACCTCTGCAAATTCTCAGATGGGCGGCGATACCGAGTACTTTGCAACTTGAGAGAGGCCGACAGTGGACGTTCAGGACAAGACAAGGATACGTGGGCCTGCGTGGGCTATGCGCCGACGAAGATGGCCAGGTAGGTAACGTCAGATAGTCGGGTGGGAAGCAGGAGAGATGTGTTTGGATCTGGGGGCTCGTGGGAAAAAGTGTGATTTGAGGTGTGCGAGGGTGGACGTTGGTTCAGCGCGAGTTGAGGAGGAAAGAGCCCGCCCTCTCTGGGGGCAGCGAACGGAAGGAGCCTACCTACCTATGTGGCAGTTGATGGGCAGATGGTGAAAAGGAGGAAAGCGCGTCGCAGGGTGGATTCCTTCTTTCGTTCACCATAGAAGGAAGGCGCCACTGCCTGGGGAGGGAAGAACATTACCCATGAGAGCATGCACCTACCTGCCTGCGTCCAGAGTCTGAAATTTCACCTTACTTACCTAGGTACTTGAAATTCCTCCCTCGCCACGAGAACTTCATCTCCAGTCAGCCCATGAAGCAAACAGCATCTCATCAAAGCATTCTTCAAACTACTCTAATTGAATGCAATGTGACGAAGACAGTCGTTCAGGAACAGCCACATCAACCAATATGCATCAGGTGTACATGTCTCAACTCACGACCTCTCACACTTCCCATACTCCGAACGAGGGAGCAGCGAGTCAATTGGGACCGCTGGAGGTATACTGTTCCCACCAGCTCCGAGGCAGGTACAAGCCGACAGAACTGTGCCGTAATATTACGGTTCTATGATGAGGTGTAAGTCCAGCGTGGTGACACGAAGAGAGAGAGAGAGAGAGAGAGAGAGAGAGAGAGGTCAGTGCTTGTAGATGCCGTTCGTGTTCCTGTCAGGCTTCTGAAAGAAGTATGGTGAGCAGACCGAGGTCGTACTTCATGAAAGATGCAGTATCAAAATTAAATGGACGTGCCAGGTCTGAAAGAGTCTGGCACTTCGGTCCACCATGAGCTGGTGATGGTCTAGACGTAACCGTTGCCCGGTACGAAGTTGGAGCTACGTTATGAGACGGGGATCCACCCACCCCGCAAACCGGGAGACAAGGTCCTTTGGCTGCGGAGGACACGGCCCCGGGATAGAAGGTCAGCAACGTCTATGTGGTGCTGCCCGGCGTGCCAGGGTACCTTACTTTCCATGCGAGCACCTGCATTAGTGGCGCTGACCAAGCCTAGTCCAAAAGGGAATAGCCTCCTCAGGCCGGCATAGCATTCCACATACCTCAGCTCCGACATCACCAACCGCCGTGTGGAGCTTACCTACCTATGAGCGTATCGACCTACCTGGATACCTTGACACAGGGCCGCAGGCACAACCCCAATCGCCTTTTCGTCCTCGCTCGTCAGATTTCATTGAACCGGCCGCTTCTGCCTTAACCCGGGACTTGCTCATGCTCAGCCCAAGCCACGAAGCTGATCCTACAACAAATCGCTACCGCCTACCGACCAAACGAACTCCGTGTCCAGTCCACGCCAACGAGACCGAGTACTGCGTAAGGCATGGAACAAGATGCCTCGGCGCCCGCAGACCTACGATGATTATGGCGCAGCCGTCCAACAGGTTGAATCTGAGCCTTGATACCAATCGGGTCCACCTCTTTTCCTAGCTAACTCGAACTTGCTCCAGATTATCATCACTTCATCCGACGCAGACTTTCTCGACCAGCTCATTCCGGTCCTCAAAGATGCCTCGCACTCGAATCGAACCCCTTCGCTGATGCAGAATCTCGTGCGATATGCCGAAGACAGAGAGTCCGATATTGAGAGAATAGGCTTGACAAAGCACGAGGAGTTTCTTGGTTCTGTGAACCAACTTCAGAACGTGCGCGAAGGCACTGTTACTCTCACAGCAGAGATTCTCAGATTGAACCAGTCAATCCAGGCCAGCACCGAGAAGCTTGCTGACCAAAAGCAAGCTCTGGTCAACACCAGAGCCGTTCGACAGAACATCGCCGACGCATCGGATGCTTTGAAAGAGTCGCTCAAGATCCTCCACGCTGTCAATCATGCACATGACCTGATCCGCACTAAAAAGTATTATGCAGCGCTCAAGTCACTCGAGGACTTGCAGAATGAGCATCTGATTCCGACAATCCAGAACAAGTACGCCACCCAGCACAGACTAGCCGATGTGATCCAAAAGTCGATACCCGCGTCCCAGAAAATTATTTCTGAAGCCGTCATGACCGACCTAAATACCTGGCTATTTCGAATCCGCGAGACCTCGCAATTTCTCGGCGAGGTCGCGTTCTATCATACCGAACTTAGAAGGGCGAGACAGAGAGAACGTGTGGAGCGAGACAGTTTTCTCAATAACTTCAGACTCAATTCATCGATCGAGCTGGTCTTTGACGAAAGTGAAGAGTTCGACGTACTCGACAACGAGGAGCTACGAGTTGACTTTACCCCGTTGTTCGAGTGCCTCCACATCCACAATGCTCTGGGCCAAAGCGAGAAATTCCGGGCTGAGTATGCTACAACTCGTCGCCAGCAGAAAGATTTACTACTGCCGAGCACGGTGAATCTTGTTGCAGAGGATGAATCCTCACTGAGCAGTCTCCTCGAAGGCATTGCTGGTTTTGCCATCATCGAGAAGGCCACCATGAGACGAGTCCCCAACTTGCGCTCTGCGGTTGATGTAGGCCGACTCTCTCCTCAGCCTCCTTTTGTGCTGGTGCTGAATTGGTTTTAGGTTGACGAGCTATGGGACTCGATGTGTCACACTGCTATCACATTGACCTCCCAGGCCCTCAATGAAGTCAGCAACGCCGAAATACTACTCAAGATCAAAGGCGTTATAGCTCTTTTCATCCAAACCATGGAGGTAAGCAGTTTCTTTGAGTCGTGTGCTACTTCAAAGACGTTTCCTGACATTCAATCCTCGACAGGGCTGGGGCTATTCTGTATCTATGCTGGACAACTTTCTGCTTACGTTGTTTGACAAGTATGCAGAGCTTTTGAAGCGTCGCTTCAGCGAAGACTTCCAGGAGGTGCGGAACCTTTTACGCTTATGCATCATCTGAGGTGGCTAACGCGAGCTAGATTGTGTCAACGGACGACTACATGCCTATGGCAATCAATACTCGTGAAGAGTATGAGAAGGTAGTGAACGTAAGCTGGTTTTCACAAGAAAAATCGCTCGAGGAGCTCAGGTAAGCAATCCTATTCATCCAACCGTGTCCTTACTGTCAAGTATCTAATCATCATTCAGCTTCCCCTGCGTTTTACCATTTTCGCAGATGTATCCACTTTGCTGCATCGATATTCGCAACTTTTTGAATCAGTTCTACTTCTTCTCCGATGACCACTTCCAGCATCCAAATATAATCGACGACACACTTCGCAAGGCAAGTAACTTAACTGGTGTAGCTGTGGGAAACGTTACTGACTCTTCGCCAATTTGCAGTCGCTTGACGAGCTGCTGACCGAGAAAGTTTGCAAGTCTCTCGTCGAGAGGCTGAGCTCACAATATCTCGGGCAGATTGTGCAGATTCTCATCAACCTTGAGCATTTTGAAGCCGCATGCCAGGAGCTTGAGCAGCTTCTTATCCGAGCAAGATCATCTACGTCAGCTGGCGGCCCTGTCACGCTTGTTGCTACTGAAGAATTTCGGAACAACAAAAAGACAGCCGAGAAGCGTATTTTCGAACTTGTCAACTCAAAGATCGATGACCTTGTGGATACAGCTGAATACGACTGGTATGTTGGACTAGACTGTCTTCGACTACAAAGGAAACGCCTCATTGATGTTAACTGACGATGGTATATAGGATGGTGACCACGACATCCCCCGACCCAAGCAGCTACATGCAGACCATGACCCGGTATCTTTCGACAATCATGAACTCGACGCTTCTAGGCTTGCCAAGAGAGATCAAAGAGCTCATATACTTTGATGCACTCAGTCATGCCGCCAACAAGATTCTTGTGAGTTTCTTGATGCCCCGGACAGCCTCAATTCGTCCCTCCATCACTGATAAATGTTGTGCAGGCGTTGCCACTTTCCCCGGACGTCAAGCATATCAACACCAATGCTGTCGCAGCCTTGGCCAAAGACGTCCAATATCTCACCGAGTTCGTCGACAGTCTTGAAAACGGAGCCATGCTACGGGAGAACCTGGACGAACTCCAACAAACAATCAACCTGATGCAGTCTGACAATCACGACGAATTCTTTGATATTTCGATCCGCAACAAAAAGTTCGGTCGCGTAGACGCATTGAACGGCCCCATCCTACTGGAAAAGTAAGGCTCGAGATCACTGTCGTCTTCCCACACTCAAATATTAACATTTTTACAGACTTACCTCGAATGCCCAAGGTCCCACGCGCAGCGCTCCTCTCGCCAACTTTTCATCCAGATTCGGTATGATGAAGTGAGAGCCGTTTGCCTCTCAGATGATGTGTGCAGAACCTGGTGCATGCATGGGGTATTCTGTTGAACATACCAGCACGCGTCATATCTAAGTCCCGCTGAAGCAAACGCCCATTTATATTCTGTCCGGGATGTTGCTAGGCTCAGACATGGAGCTGATGGCTTTCCCCTCTGCAACCTGCTAATTACTCAAGAGGATCAATTCATCGTGGAGCACTAGCAGATTCGATGCTGTTCCGTCATCATGGCTCTCGTCGCTAATCATGCCTTGAACGCCGCTACGCCAGATCCAAATCGAAACGATAACCTTGCCCCTCATTTTGCTTTACCTGTGAGGGGTAAACTGAAGATAGCCGCTGGAGACACATTTGTTGCTGCGCGTGCCCAAGGTCTACTCGAACTCTTCGTTGGACATGGGAGGCTATCAAGTTTGTCAGCCCGTCCGTGGCGTAGCAAATCATCAGTACTGGACAGACACTCACCTGCTGTGGCTGCATAGTCCCATAACCATACATGCCCTCAATCTCGCCGTACATGGGTTGTTGAGCTTGTCCATAAGGGGCAGAGGGGCCTGGCTGTACTTGGCCAGGGTACATGTTGGGGTTTTGGCGGTAATCCTGATCGGGCCCAAGAGCATGGCCAGCGAGGCCGTAATCAGTTGCCGCCATGGGATGCGAGGACGAATGGTTTGCTGGCTGCGGCATGGAACCATGCTGGCCTGGCATTTGGGGGTTTGCTTGAGCTGGAACGCCTTGGGGTGTGGGAGCAGCCTGTCCCGCTGTTCTCTTGGCATGCGATGAAGCCTCCTCGCGAGGAACTATGTCAATAAGAAAATCAAACATGTCCGATTTGGCAAGGGCAGAGGCAATGTCGGATCGCTGTAAAGTGCGCCGCTTGTTCTCTTCGGCGTGAATCCATGCCCGCATCGTGAGTTCCGTGATGAAGATATCGCAGCCCTTTGCGAAGAGGATAGGTGCTTCGGCGGATATCATTTTGACTTCGGGATCGGCCTTCATGACTTTCTTAATGCGCGCTAGGGGCAGTTGATGCAGCTTGTAGTCATGATTGTCGCTTTCCAAATGATTGATGGTCTGCTGCCAGTAGGTTGTCAAGATGTCCTTGTACTGGCCGGTCAAGCCTTGATGAACCTGTCATGTGGAGAATGCGCGTCAGTCGACTCTAGAGTAATATGCGAGGGAATGAGAGTGTGACCGCACATTTGCCCAAGGGCCGGTGTAAAGTTCGGCGGGAGCGAAACCCTGGGCCGATAGCTGTGGGCGTGATTAGAAACGGCTCATAAAATGGATCGCATCCGGCGCAGGTAGGCGCCGTTTGAGAGTCGTCAGGAAGAAACACGAACCGCAGCACTTGCGCCTAAGTTTGAGAATGGATGTCAGTACAAGGGCAGGAAGACGAGGCTGAGATGAAGTGAAAGACGTAGCTCGCGTTAAGAGCGCGGTCCTATCGCGCATTCGCGCGCGATCGGGGAGGGGAGGCGAGGGGGCTGAATTTCCACTTACCATAATGGCCGCCATGAGACGTATCATATACAGGCTGCGGGCGGCCTTGCTGGGCATGAGAGCCAGGCTGATTTTGAGGGTCCATGGCAGCTGTCGCGAGATACAGTGATGACTGACTGTACCTAAGGTGGTTGAGGATTGATCGATGCGTGGAATTGGTGGGCAAGACGACAGGAAAGCCGCGAATCACAGGTGTGTGGGGTTTGTCGGGTCGTCTGTCGGATGTCCAAGGTATTGCTTGAGAGTGAGACCTGCGATCAGTGCTCTGGCGCGTCTCGGCTCGGTGCGCGGTGAGATACGCAAATGAGATGCTTAGAGTCGGATTGCAATGCACGGGCTATCAACCACGGGCAATTCAGAGTCCCTCGAGGCGTTGGGAGGACGGTGGGGTAAAGAGCAGAGAGCGGGTAAATGTCAAACACACGGCAGGTGTCCAAGGTAAGGTACCTTTACCTAGGGCAAGGTGGGTGAGGTAGGCAATGTACTAGGCAGGTACTGGATTCAGAGCCGCGGAACGCCGCTCTTAACAACTTCGGCTACCTGTAGGTAAGCATGCAAGGTATTGCACCTCAGGGAGCCAAGGATGAATGATCGAACGATCTAGGGTTGAAGGAGGTGAGTAGACAGTAGATGTCAGTGATGTTTTGGATCCTTTTGACTAAAGATGTAATACTTGAAGCCGGTTGATGTTTGTAACAGGCGAACTTGAACGCAATACTGGCTACTGAACGCCCACACGGTAAGGTGAGTGGGCTCGACAGACCTCTTATTGGGGAGACGGCAAGGGCAATTTGCTGACCATGAGCTCTGAGGAAACATCGAGGAGCATGGGGGGGGGGGCCGATGTGAGGTTACGGCCCCGTCCATGGACAGCGTCATTAGGTACCAGTAAGTACCTCGGCAAGACAAGGTACCTAAAGTTCGAAAAGCACAAAACCTGGAGGCTGGCATAGGTAAGCACACACCAAGCACGTAAGGTAAGGTACCTACTAGGTTGAGATAGTCAGGTTATGGATGCCTTACGGTACTAAGGTATCACAGGGTAGGTAGGCGGTACCTGGTTAAACCTGCCATGAGTGCCCGACCGCCAAAAGCCACCCGACTGAGGTGTGCTGGATGGACATCACGGCCTGACTGCAAGGCAACGCCGCTACACCTCACCTTACCACCTCACCTTGCCTTGCCTACCACCCTGCCTGACTGTGTGCGTAGTTGACACCTTAAGGTAGGGAACCAAGCGCTCAAGGGAACCCGAGTAATTCAAGAGAAGCAATTCGGTCCTTACCTAGGTATCCTTACAGAGACGTGGAATAACACCTGCCATATAAGCCAAGATACGTTCTTGGTAATTGAACATACCTTCGATTCGACCTTTAGGTGTTGAGCACTTTACCATTGCGCATGGCAGCATCAGGTACTTCGTGCTCTAACGTTAGAGCAGGCAGGGAAGTTGGTATCTTAGGTGTGACATGCAGCCTCAATTCTCAGAGCACACCGAACTGCTCCTTTTAGCTGCCTGTTGGGCATCCCGCGGCCTTGCCCATTACGCAGCCCTTGAGAGGCCGAGTCGCCTCAAGAGTTTTGTGCTACCATTTCCTAATAATCTGACACCAGACAATATTATGCCGTGAAGAGGAAGTGGTCCCCAGGTGCGTACATAGAGCTGCATGTGGCCGATGACGTGGCTGAGAATCGAGAATCTAACACCTGCACTGTAAGGCATTACGTTGCTTCAATGTGACAGGAATCTGTGAGCTGGCGAGCGGGTCTGTCATCGTTTCCCGCTTACATAAGGCCTTTGTGCAAATGTATTACCTAATGCATAACCATCTCGAGCCGACGCGCCTCAACTCACTGTCCACTCGTGTCAAATCCCACTGCCCCACTAGACCTTTAAAGACGAAAAAAAAAAATCTTGCTTCAGATTGGACTGTCCCATTCTTTCTCCTCGATCCTTTTGCTCACACAGCTGAGTCTCCCTTCAGCTCCCACGGTTCAATCGCACATTATCGCTATGCCAGAGTTGTGCGATGGGCGTCTTGATGAACTCCTGAAAGAAGCGGCTAGTCGCCTCGCGACGAAGCAGCCGCCACGGCCCAAGGATTGCACCTTGATTGCCATGAAGGCCACGCCTGCCAATCCAACTCTGGATTCAAAGGTGCAAGCCAAGGCACAAGACTCAAAGAGCATTATGCTTCGCGATCCTAGGCCAGCGGAGAAGAAGGTACGTCGCAACGTCTTGCCCAATTCCTCTTCCCCTCTCTACCACTCACCTCTTCTGATGAGAAGCAACCCCTGCTTTATTTTCTTGATGTGGTGACGGTGCCCGTCTTGGGTTACCTGCCACGCCAAAATGATCATTTATTTCATAGTTACTCTGATTTGAGATTACCTCCTGATACTGTACCTGCCTGCAAGTGTTCAATGGACCTGTGAGCTAACAACAGACAGACTGTCAAAGATAGTGCTGGTCCGGGCTGGTTTGGCATTCCAAAGACAGATCCTAACGATCCCGATCTGAAGCGAGACCTTCAGATTCTTCACATGAGAGGAACCGCCATCGATTCTAAGCGACATTACAAGAAGGAATCCCTCAAGGCCAAGGTACCACGCTACGCTCATGTTGGACGCATTGTCGAGGGCCCAACCGAGTTCTACAGCGCTCGCTTGACACGCAAGGAGAGAAAGCAGACCCTGGTAGACGAGTTATTGAGCGCAGAAAAGGCGTCGGGCAAATTCAGATCCAAATATGAGGCGATCCAGACCAAGAAGGCGAGCGGCAAAAAAGCCTTTTACAAGAAACTGGTTGAGCGCCGCCGGCGCAGCCGCCAGTAGCCAGAAACACGTTCTGCTGTGGCTGGAGATGTTTCTTTTAAACTCGTGATACCCGAAGTCGCTAGCTGATAGCTGCGCAAAATAAATCAAATATCAAACATGAGCTATTGTCCCGAGTCGCAGGTGTCAGGAGCTCAAGACGCGAATGATACAGATATTTAGTACGGAGTAATATAGTATTGAATCCAATCACCATAATGAACTATTATGAGAACGCAACCAAGCGCTTTATCTGAATCACCCAACGAAGCAAATGCGATGTGCTTGAGCCGCGCAAGGACACAAATCGTTATATGCATAAAGTAAAATATTCAATAAAGTGGAGTTTATTCCGAAAAACGACTGTTTCAATGCAGATTACCTCATATACGAATAACTTGCGGGTACCTCTAGATTTTACCGTCGGGATCCGTACTTGACCCTTTTTGCATGCCAACAGCATCGCATTGCTCAACTATCTCGTTACGTATGCAGGGAAGATGCGCGCTTCGACACTGTTGAGGCCAACCACCCGCTGCCTGGTGCGGTCACGTTTACAGGTTTGTTGGTACTCCTCTCGCGGCGTTGACGTTGCGTGGACGAGGCAAAAGCTGTTCCCTCACTGACCATTCAATCCTGGTCCGCAGGGCACCCTGAGACCATCATGGACTCGCTCACTCAACACAGAGACGCCGCAAGCATCAGTGACACAGCCTTCGAAGACTCCCGAAACAACGAGAAAACCGCAGGCTGTTAGCGAGTCTGACCCTGTGTAAGTACTCGCCCCATCCGGCCCTTATAATGTGCGGTGATGGTACTAATGATGATCACTTGCAAGGCAACATTTCTTCGGGAAGGCCAAAGAAAACGAACCAAGATATCCTCGAGGAGTCCAGGCACTATATCTCCAGCCATTACGTCGCGAAGCCGAGTACGGAATTCCTTCATGCGACCTTCAGTTGCGCTCATACAGTTTGAGGAACCTCGAGTTCTTCTCCGACTTTGCGCTTCGCGCAGCGTACTACCTGAAGCTCCCGGCCTTCGGCCCTGTGCCACTGCCTCGAATCACTGAACGATGGACGGTTCCCCGGAGTAGTTTCATCTTCAAAAAGTCGCAGGAAAACTTCGAGCGTGTAACGATGCGTCGTCTTGTCCAAATCCGCGACGGAAACCCTGAGACGGTTCAGTTATGGCTAGCTTTTCTCCAAAAGCATGCCTACTACGGCATTGGTATGAAGGCAAACGTGTGGGACTTTGGAAAGCTTGGTAGGTCACCACAACGGAAGACGTCGTGCAAGCAGGGACCTGCTTGCTCGTTCGAAGCAAAAGTTAACGTGTCATTCTTTTCCCAGGTGTCGGCAAGGCTATGGATGCCATTGATCCAGAGACGACTGAGGCAATTGACTCGCAGTGGAGCCACCTAGGTCAAAACCGGGAGCTTGATACAGTTGAGAAGGTGGAGGAGTTTTTGGCTACGGTTCGGTTCGATAAGGACAGTGGCAAGCGATCAGAGGGGGAGCGGCGGTTTCTCCAGACTCAATGGAAGAAAGACGAGGCGGCCAAAAGGAAGGCAGCCTTGAACGTCTGAGATTTCGGGCCATCCATAGGTCGACGTGTAAGCTGGTGTGTCGGGCTTGGGGAGGGAATTGGAGACAGCCAGAGAAAAAGAATGACAGAAGGCTCTGTCAGTGTATTAAATAGTTGAAAAGGGACTCCGTCATGAGTGTGTCCTCTGTAGATCACAAATATCAAATCTGGCTCTTGTCGAATTGTGTCACAGACTGCTATTCTTATGTCGTTCACAAAGGCCTGTGTGGCTGCGATCTGCTTGCCGTTGGGACCTCAAAACATGCCAAAATTCCCAACTGTGTCTCCAGACCCTTGGCCCATCACACCCCGCTATAGCAATATAGCTGTCCATTGCCCCATGCGCCGGACTCTTCAACCTTTCGTTCGGTCAGTGGGCTTATCATGTTTGTGTGCGCCAACGATTTAGAGCACAAGGCCTGGCAGATATGACCTGGTATTGAGCTTGCAACTATTTTCGGGTGTTATAGCCATCTGCTGTTTTGATCTGGCTTCTCGACGCCTTGGATTCCTTCTCGTTATTGAGAACACAACGTGAGCACAACGGCTAAAATCTTCGTTCTGCCTAAACTAAATGTCACTGTCAGATCTTTCCTACTCTAAACATTAACACAACTCTTTCTCATGTGGCAACGTTCGAGGCGGGCTGTCCACCGGCTCAAGGTTCCGACCGGACGCCGCGACGCGTCAAGTGGGAATCAACAAGTCATTTTCTCGGGCATCCAGCCTACAGGAACACCGCACCTGGGCAACTACGCCGGTGCCATCCGACAATGGGTGCAACTTCAGGCCAAGCCATCTGAGAGCTGCAAGCTTGTTTACTCTGTCGTCGATTTGCACGCCATCACCGTGCCCCAGAACGCAAAGCAGCTGAGGCAATGGAAGAGGGAAACGCTAGCAGCTTTGTTGGCTGCAGGTATCAACCCCGAACGCTCGACCTTGTTCTATCAATCATCTGTATGTTCCGAAGAACCACTCCGTGCCTTTCTCTCTCTCACAGATATATCGACCCAAAGCCGTTTACTTGGGCAATCGACGAAGCCACTGTGACCCTGAAGACTGACTTTTCAAACATCAGGTCCCGGCGCATTCCGAGCTCATGTGGATCTTGAGCTGTACAGCCTCGATGGGTTATTTATCACGAATGACACAGTGGAAGGTCTAGCACCATACCGTCCCTTGACCAATGGATAACTTACTGACACCAGATACTTCTTTACAGAGCAAGCTGTCACTCTCAAATGACGCCACCATTCTTGATGAAGGCGCGAAAGCCTCGCTGAAGCTCGGTCTATTCTCATACCCCGTCTTGCAGGCTGCTGATATCCTCGTCCACCGGTACGTTGCCATATTCCCATGCGCTCCATGTTATTCGCCCGCCACCTGCAGCAATCATGGAAATCAGGGACAATGCACTTGATTAACATTCCGTTCAGAGCCACTCACGTACCCGTCGGTGATGACCAGAGACAGCACTTAGAATTTGCTCGCGAGTGTGTAACAAATTTCAACCACAACTTCGGCCCTCTCCTGGTATCTCCCGAGACCATCACATGTGAGTTTGTCTAGCCATCTTTCGTATCATGGTTCATCTCCGGGGCATAATTTCCTAACAAGATGTAGCCCCGACACGCCGGGTCATGTCGTTGCAGCAACCATCCCAGAAGATGTCGAAATCTGCTAGGGACCCGAGGTCACGTATCCTGATCACCGATACGCCCGACGAGATCAACGCCAAGATAATGAGTGCATTGACAGACTCTTCTAACAATGTTTCCTATGATCCGACTAACCGGCCGGGGGTATCAAACCTGTTGGAGATCCTCTCTATTTTTGATATTCATGCCAGGAACCCAGCTCAACTCGCCGAATCTTTTTCTCATGCCTCTCTCAGAGATCTTAAACAAGCCGTCTCAAAGGCTGTCGTCGAGGGGCTTGGCGGAATCCGTGAGCGCTACATGGAGCTCCTGTCTGTTGACGAGGGACGATATCTCGATGCCGTCGAAGCAAAGGGTGCCAGCAAGGCCCGCCTTAATGCCAACGAAACCATGGCCCTGGTCAGAGAAGCTACAGGGCTGTGAAGCCTCATCTTTATCTCAATGACAGCTCGGCGAGGCGCCTCTTAACCTGTCGTGGCGCTAAGGCGTTTGTAATATAATGTTGTATCATCACTTCTCATTCCGCGAACCACGCCATTGTGCATCGTCATTGGGAATCATCTCTGGGTGTAGGAGGAACGCTAATGGGCTGTTGAGGCATTGTCTCTTTGATTCCAAGTTCTGAAACATGCTCTTCACGAGGCATAGGCGAAATTTGAGCCTCGCGCAGCAAGCCAAAAGTCTCGCACCACCTGATTAGTACCCCTCGCTCCACGAAGACTGTCAGAGATGGTCAGTGACATATTCCTACACTCTTAACGAAGAAAGCACAACCCACTTCATGATTTTCTTAAGAAAAACCGCTTTTTCATCGCCAACTAACTGCCGGCTTGGGAATGATGGGTCCGACAAAGCTTGCTCGAGCCAATTACGAGCTTTGGCTTGATTGCTGACCATCTTTTTCAGAGGCTCACTGAGCCTGTCGAGTTCGCTCCTTGAGGCAGTTCCGCCGATGTTACGAACGATGGACTGGGCTAGCAATGGGCCTAATTGAGCTATCGCGTGATCTATTGTCGCATCTGCTGGCTTCAAAGCCATGAACGTGGCCTGGGCGCTGGTTAGTATAGCTGAATGTTGTATGAATCTGCATTGGCGAACAAACCCAGAAATCCGCAGCTGCAGCTTTGGGTAGTGGCTCGCGCCCATCTAGTACCCGCAAGGCGTAGACGAAGAAGAATTCCGTAAGGGGAAGGCAATCCGGTCGGAAAAGGGACGCAGGCTCCCGCGAGATCAAGCGGTTTGTAAATTCAATGCCGTTCTGCGCCAATTCTACATCGTTATCTGGCTCTGTTACGTCAAAGATGTTAGCGTGGTCCTGGAATCGAAGCGACTGTGACCTTACCTGGTTGTTGCTGTAACAAAGTAATGACCCATCGGAGAAGTTTCGTCCTTACTTCATCCACGTCGTCACTCTTCATGTTTCTCAGTGAACTGAGGAAAGAACAAGCAGTGTTCACAAAGTAGCCAATTCGAGGTGTTTGAGGTGTCTGTTCAGTAAGGTAGTCGCATACCAGCCCTGGAGGAAAAACAAAGGGGCCAGCGTCCGACTCGGAAAATCCTGATCGGAAAATGGTGCAAATGCTCTCGGAAATTTCGTCGCTCTGTGGGAACGCTCTCTGAAGCTGTACTGTCATTGACATGATCCCAGACTGCAAATGGCCGAGTCTGGAGGTGCTGTCGGTTGCCGGGATATCCTTCTCACTGTCTAGGTCGAAAGGCACGTCTCCCGGAGCCTGTAGACCTTTACCAATGCCTATGAGGCATCTAAGAGCCTTTAAGGCCATGTGAAGGGGAAGTTCCGACGGATCGCCTAGCGTCGGGCAGCGATGAATATCTGATCCGCTGCCTGATGTGTCGCTCTGGAGTCTAGGTAAGGACAATAGATGCATTGACAAGCGAGCATCTTTCTGGACGAACGAGAGTAAGAAGTCAAGATGATCGAACTTGGTGCTCTCATCTGGGACGGCTTGGATGACAGCGGCTATGGCTCCCATAATTCGCTCAACGGCCATACAGTCCAGCTGGCT